ATCTGTTTCATAACAGGACCCTTTGTCTCCCTCTCTGTCACACACACTCTGTGCGCAATGGAAGACGAGAAAACACGCACACAGGCGCGGATGCCCTACCGTTCGGGGATGAGGGCAGGTGTGTTCAAGCTCCTCCATTATTCCCAAAGACTCATGGGATGCAGCTGTGGTCCCTCTGATATGTGACTCAGCATCAGTGAAACGATGCCTCTCCTCACCACTCTGTCTCCTTCCTCTGTTCCCCCGCCCACTCTCCGCTCTCCTTCTCTGTCTGTCCTCTCCTCCTCATCTGATCCTCTCTGCTGCAGAGACGCAGACTCATGGCAGAGGCCTCACTCTGACTATTTTTTTGGAAAAAAAATTTTGCCTTCCGCGTTTTAATAGCAATTTTAAAAGCCTCAAGCGCCGTCTGTTAAATCACAGTTATGTTCCCTTTAGTCTTGCGCCATATTAAAGCTTTAACATAAAAGACTTCTCCGGGTTAAAAGGCTTTTAACCCTGTCTGCTCAGGGGTGCCCCTTTAGGGTATACGGGGAAACACCAGAGCACTTTGATTGCTTGACTCTATGTTGAAATCCTCACATGGGAAAACATATTTGGCACGACCTGTCTGTTTATTACTGTGTACTAACAAATGAGCACAGATTCAACCCAAAACAGTGAGGAGATAAATTAAGAGATCACACTGGCATCTTTTCACGAGCCGCGAGTGAATCTGTGTCTGCGTAAACGATCTCTGCGCGCTGAGGAGCTTTCTCCATGGCGACGGAAAAGAGGAGAGAGAGCTCCATGAGGTAGCCAATGAGAGAACACCGCCAGTATACCCGGTGAGGATTGGTTGAGCAGGCCATAGCACCATCAGTGAAAAATGGCACTGAGTGGCACCGTTATCCGCCAAACGCTGATTTAAATAGATGTATGTGGGTTTTCACGTGTCTAGTGTATGTGCTTATCTTTGTGTGAGATTTGTAAACAAACACGATTGTGGAAAAGAAGAAGCTAAAAAACTGTGCTGACTAGTTTAGTATCCCTCATTGCATAACTTAACCTCTTAAGCCCCAACGCCCCCTGATACGGGGGCAAAAAGCAGGAGATCAGGTAGGCTTGGGGCTTAAGAGGTTAAGGTAGACCAAGCACCTATAAAGTACAGCAGTGCATTTGACTGTAACAGGATAATTTTAATATTTGGAGCATTTTCTTTAGGGTTAGATTCCGACCACTCACAAAAGTTTACCCTCCAAGCTCACGGGCAAAACTTACCCCCGCGAATCCTCACCAAAAAGAACAAGAAAAAAAGCAAACAAATGGAATAGGCATATAAATTGCGCATAAATGAACAATTATTTTATTGTCTATTTAGGGATGTCTTACCTTTAGATATCCTCTTCTGCGACAAAAAGGCGCCACAGGTGCGCAAGAGGAATGCGCTCTGACGCGTCGTTGCTTCACCATGGCGGAACAAACAAAATATCACAATCAGGCTCACTTTTTCTCTGCTTTGCTCTTTATAAAGTGAGCGAGCTGCGCAGCGGCAAAAGTGCAGCAGAGCAACAGCAAGCTGTTTGTCTACTCTGACCAAAGGACGCATCAGCTGCTCAGCGCTGATGAGCAGCGACAACTGTGGGCCATAGTCGATATAGCAGAGCTTACAGTAGACTTCCTCAGATTTGTACCTCAGCAGACGGCCTAATTCATGCAATCTGCAACTTCTTACCCTAATGAGAACAAGTGGAAAAAGCCTAATGTTGTAAAGACAAAAATAAGATGAATACTACAATGAGCGTTTCTATAACCTGGAGTGTACTGTGCAGTCCTCCGGAACTTGGCGGAGTAATCACTGTCTTTTAATGTATAGAAAGCCAAAATAAGCTGTGTGAATGAAGGACAAAACACGCTTTGTGTTCTCATTATTGGACGCACTGTGTCTCTGTGGCCCCAATCTGGGACAGGAAACTATTGTCCTCTCCATGGACCGGTTTGGTTGCTGTGGAAACCAGATTCACTGGGGTAGCCAGGCTTTGAAAAACAGGGCAAAATAATGGCCCCAGTACTAAAACCCCCCCGGATTTATAGAATGGTTTAAATGTTTTTTGTTTTGTAAATGTATATTGTTCTTGTTTTGTTTCTTTTAGTCAAATTGCGATGCAATTTTATTAAATAAAAAGAAATAAAAAGTCACTACAAACTCGTTTGAACCTCATACAATATTTATGCTAATATCACATAAATTGACTTTTTGAGACCACTTTTGACAAAATTTTGCTCAGAAACTTTCTCTGATTTGCATTTTAAACTTCTTTAAGTTACATAAACTTGGTTTCTGTGTAAATTCTGAAAACGGTCGAAATTGTGAATATATTTTCAGCGCATGCTCTATTTGCCACATCGCGCCAGACCTCAGTAATCACACACATATTTACCTGCCAGATAAATGTAATCAGGTAAAAAGGGGAGAAGATAGGGTGCAGCCCATAGGGATTGTACAACACTGCCACCTTGCGGACAGATGTGAGATAGCGTGCCAGTTTATTGGTTGGTTGCTCTGTCGTCACTTCCGACATATGACTTTCCCCGGGAAGACGATTTGGCGCGCGCTGTTCTGTTGTTGTGTTGACCTGCCATAACCGTACGAATTAATACGACAAAACCCCCACTTCTCCCCATGGCTCCAGTGTCAAACCCTGAGAAAGACATGGACGCTCCGGACGGCGGTGAGTTTTGGGCCTCGCACCTCTGATTTTGTTGACTTTTGGCGACATTGCGGTGGGAAAGCGAAGAAGCTAGCTGACACGTTAGCTAGTTCAGATTATGTTAATAAGCCTGCTAGCAGGCTTCGGTCATTAACACCCAAAGTGCCCACCGTTGTCTGCTTGCCAGCGTTTTCCACTGTAAAGGGAGTATTATTAAGGTTCAATCAGGAGGACCTGAAGGTAGCTACCAGAAGAGCGCTGATGTGAAGGTCTGTTAACTTGCCACTAAAACCTTCTGTGGCGCTTCGAGAACGACAAAAATCTATATAATGGCCACCAGTAAGTCTGCAGACGTTTAAATTGAATGGTAAAAGAAACACAGGGGTCAGGTCGATCTGGCATGTGTGTATAATATGTTTGAAGAAACGAGTCAAACTGTCCTTCCTTATACTGCGTTGTCTTGACCTTCTCCTCAGACGATGGAAGTGAAGCCTGTGGTTTGGCGAAGACTCGCTCCAGACGGGAGAAACGGGAGAAGGTGGGGAGGAAGTCCGCACTGGAACAGCTCAAAAAGGCTAAGATGGGAGAGAAGATCAAGTATGAGGTATGAAAGGCAACCATATCACTGGTTCCTGCTTTAAGGTGTGTGAAGAATGTGTTAAATTGCACCTGTTTTAACTGCGTCACTGTGGCTTAATAAACAAAGCTGGTTAAGTCTCTCCATACTTCCTTTTACAGCATCTGTTTTTCACTCATTAAAATGATTCGTGCTGTTCTCTATCCTAGGATGCTGTATGCAGGTGTCATTTCACAGTAGTACACCTGTGTTTTAACCACTGTTGTGTTTTTCAGGTGAAGGAGTTCAGCAGTGTGTATGAGGAGGTGGACGAGGATGAGTACTCAAAGATGGTACGAGAGAGGCAAGAGGATGACTGGATTATTGATGATGGTTAGTGTCAGTTACCTCAGCCTGCTGTAGGAATACTGAGACAACGCCAAAATCACAATAGTACCACTACCTCTTCTCTTTTTCTTTTTTTGCCAGATGGAACAGGATACGTGGAGGATGGACGAGAAATCTTTGACGATGATTTGGATGATGATGTAGTAGAAGACAAAAGGGGTAAACACAAGGAGTTGATTACATTTTCTGGAGTAAGTTGTCCACATCAGGTGCATGAATAGGTTTTGTTTGTTTTATCAGGAAAAGGAGGCGCCAAAGGAGCTGACTCAAGGAAGAATGTGAAGAAATCTGTCGTAGCCAAACCCAACAGCATTAAGAGCCTATTCATGAACAGCAACGTCAAGAGGCCTGCTGAGGTATGTGTTTGTTAGCGTCTTTGATTTGCTTCTGTGAAAAATGCCCCGTGCAGTCTACATGTAATGATTTCCGTGCCTGCATGGTGCTTTGGATATTCCAGTCAATGTAAAGCTTAACAACATCCAGCTTTTTTTTTTTTTTTGTCCTTATGCATTTGTCAGATGTTTTTGTACTTTTGTCTCTTACAGAAAGATGTGGATCTGTCCAAAGATGACCTGTTAGGGGATATCTTACAGGACCTGCACTCTGGGGTTGGTAATTCTTCATTTAAACATGTGACAGTAGTCTGTAGCAAGGGCGTTTTCATCTATTAACCACACTTGAGATTACACATACTATTCTAAAACCTGCAATATTTTATTATGGTTCTTTTCACACCATTTTTGCTTTTCTCCTGTTCGGGCATGATGACATATTCCCTTCTACTTTTTTTTTTCTTTTAAAGGCCGTAATTTCTTACTTTTGGTGTCTTAGCCTTTGTTAATGTGGCTTTAAAATATGCTCCGTCTTTCCAGAAACCAGCTCTTCTGACTCCGCCACCTGTGGTGACTCTAAAGAAAAAGAAATCTGTGGGATCACCCATGAATCCTTTCTCTATCAAACCTCAGTTGCCAAAGGTAACTCGCTCCACCCTCCTAATCAAAGCATATTGATTAGCTCTTTAGACATGTTTATAAAGTGGCTTACCTGAAATTATAACGAATCATCATCCCTTTGATAGCAGGACTCCCCCTCAGCTGCTGGGGTAAAGGCAAAAGTGATTCGAACGCCACCATCACACTCTGCCCCCAGGTCATCAGTCCGCCCTCCTTCGTCCACATCTGCTTCTCCTGTGGCAAAGCAGAAGGTAAAAGTGGAAGTGCTGAATGAAGAAGACAAGAACGAAGAAGAAGGTAATGAAGATGGTTTCTAATCTCTTGCCTTTTTTTTTTTTGCTTTGTGAAAAGTTTATGCACTAACTTCACATTTTAACATGTTCCTCAGTGAATGATGCCATGGCATTTGATGAGATGGACTTTGATGAACCGATGGAGGTTGGCCTTGAGGAGGAGGCACCTGTAGTGAAAGATGATGCGGAGTCTAAACCTGAAGTAGCAGCAGTGACTGCAGTCAAAGTTGAGGCCAAAGCTGAACCTCAGGATCCAGTCCTCATGTGAGTTTTTCATGCCTTTAGTCCAGCCTCGTTTTATTTCCCATAGTTTAGTTCTATGGGTTGTGCTAAAATTGCTGTCTTCCAGTCCCGAGGAAACGAAGCAAGGACAAGGAAAATCTAAAATGCATATAGCAAAATTAACCCGATGCTTATGTGAGTCAATTTAAATGCCATTTAAACAGGTGTTTACTCCTGTGGCATCTGTTCCTCCCGTGTTTTACCTGCCGGTGTTTCTAAAGAAATTCGAAAAGCTAAATGCGATGGCTGATTATTGCATTGGGCTATTATGAAAATGACTGCAATTCAGTTCACTTCAATGGTTCACAAATGTATCTGGGCAAACAGCAGGGCTCCATACATTAAAGAAGAAGACAAAACATGTCACACTTCTGTGTCACACCTGCAGTCAATCCCCCACAAAACATTGCTGGACTCATTAAGGTCTCAAATGATTGTAGCTTTGAGTAACTCCAGATTAAAAATAAAAATCTAAGCCGTCTTGTTGTGTTGTTAACTTGCAGGAAGTCAAAAATGAATTCCCCAGCAAGTAAGCAGCATTTAAAGTTCTTCACACTTGCTTTTAAAAATGTGGGAGTCTTGTGTTGCCTGCTTATATATTGACTGCGTTGTGCAGTCACTTTGATGATTGCAGGTGCAGTTAGCACGACCCACAGAACTAATTATGTTCTTAAACTGGAATAGTTCACATATGAGCAGATGGGTTTTTAGCAGTTTCTTTGCTGTGTTCCTTGTCAAGGTCCAGCAGAATTGGAAGCTCTTGGGGACAAGAGGAGGAGGGCGGAGGTAACGACGCTCCGGCCGAGGTGCAGGTCGATTCCGGCCAACTTCCTCTGGTGGAGGGCCCAGACGGGGAGCAGGTGTTCCGCTTTTATTGGTTGGATGCTTTCGAAGACCCATACAACCAACCAGGTGGGTCCCATTTTCACCCACTGTGAGGATAAAATACAATGCGGTTATGTTTACTGTTTTTTAAAAAAATCATGGGCAGGTTTGTAGAGCTCACCCTGATATGTGAATTTAAATTAAAGGTGTGGTGTACCTGTTTGGAAAAGTGTGGATTGAGTCTGCAAAGTCTCATGTCAGCTGCTGTGTCAGCATCAAGAACATTGAGCGGACCATGTACCTCCTACCTCGCGAATATGTAAGTTTTATCTGTGGAAAAGTTTATTACCTGTGAAAGTAGAAAGCTATGTGATTGTGTTGTTTAACTATGATTGAGTTAAGTAGTATTTTTATTTGTTTTCCACTACACAATATTAGCAATTGAATATATGGAACTATATTTGTTGGAATCTAAAAAGTGAGATGTAAGTTTTATACAGAAATATCTGCTGATTAAAAGTCTAATTAGCGTTTGTATTGTATTTAACAGAAGACAAACCCCAGGACCGGGGAGGTGTCCAACACTCCAGTAGGGATGATGGATGTGTACCAAGAGTTCAACGAGCTCTCTGAGAAGTTTAAGATCATGAAGTTCAAGTCCAAGGTCTGATTATGGACTGTAAAGTGTGAATGTAGTCATGTTTTTAGCTTGTGTTTGATTTCTTTTTCTTGTCCTACAGAAAGTGGAGAAGAACTATGCGTTTGAAATTCCTGACGTGCCCACTCAGTGCGAGTACCTGGAAGTCAGATATTCTGTGAGCAGACTTGTATATATGCTATTCCCTCATTGTCCACGCTTTATCCAGCTCTTTATGTTTAGATAACCTTTAATCCTTTGGGAAATATTGTTTCGCAGGCTGAGTTCCCCTCGCTGCCTTCTGACCTCAAGGGGGCGACCTTTTCCCACATTTTTGGAACCAACACATCCAGTCTGGAGCACTTTCTCCTCAGCAGGAAGATTAAAGGCCCTTGCTGGTTGGATATCAAGTCACCACGTGAGTAGGAGATGTAGACTTTTGTATTACTGATGAAAGATTTTACTAAGTTTAACTTTATCTGTTGGAATTTTGCAAAAAAATTCAGATGACATGTTAGACTTTGTCTCTAAACTTCACTGTGTCAATGTTAGAGCTAATGAACCAGCCGGTCAGCTGGTGTAAGGTGGAGGCGCTCTCTCTGAGGAGTGATTTAATCACCGTCGTCAAAGATCTCCCACCTCCACCACTCACTGTCATGTCCATCAGTCTCAAGACTGTCCAGAACCCTAAAACTCACCAAAATGAGGTCAGAACACACACGATCAAATATCCTGCCGGATACTGCGATTTTATGCTTTTTGCAAACAGACTGAAATACTAAAGAAGTGAGGACTCAATGCAGTCGTTT